TGGAGGCTGGCTCGGAGTCGTCCCAGGCGTCGGACAGCTGGGCCACGATGGTGTCCTTCTCCTTGGTCAGCTGGTCAACCTCCCTCCCCCATCCTACCTCCTTCCCGTTCTCCCCAGTATCTGTTGGCTGGCATTGGCCCACAGGGCGAATTACGTGAGCACTGAGTAGAGAGGTACGTATTCCACTCCACTCCCCTCGATCCCGCTCCTCCCCTACTCTCGATTCCGCTCCTCCCCTCACTCACCTCCTCACTCTCTCGATGAGGAAGGCCTGTCGCCTCCCTCGCCTCCCGTCCTCCCTCCCGCGATCGCGGCTGCGGGCCCCGCGCAGATTCGCTCCTGCCCGTGCAACTGGGAACGCGCGGCGTTCGCATCCACCTCCGAGCTGGCACCGCGACCGGGCGCCCCGGCGTTGTGGAACGCCGTGCCGGTCCGGAGCGGCTGCGTGGGCAGGCCGGCCCTCGGCGCGACGGCAGGTGTCCTCATCCCCCAGGTGGTCGGAGAGGTCGTCCTCGGCATCGCAGGTGATCCCCGTGAAGGCGGCGAGCGGGGCCTCGCTCGCCTGCGCAGGTGGGGCTCGCGTCGACGTCCGTAGCCTGATCGACTTGATCGACGATCCCGCGATCGCATGCGGGTGCCTGGCTGGACAGACTGACTGCCAATCCTCCGTTGCTCCGCGGAATGGCCGAATGGGGCTCGCTCGGTTAGCCTCCCCGTGCCTAGATGCCCCGGGCGCGCGGCGACTCCGTGCCTGGGGCGTTCCCCAGAGGCCCAGAGGAGCTGTCCCGGGATTTCATCCAGTTCCACCTGGCGACATTGGATCTGGAGTATTCCCAATCGAACGCCCCCCCTCCCCACCCCATGATTCGGCATGGCCTCAAGAGGGCGCAGTCGCCAAACGCCAGGCGCAGCCCCCGACGCCGACATTGAAACAGAAGATGCACCAGGTGGAGTGAAGAAGGAGCTCGGGTGTTCCCTCCAGCCGATGCGCCCCGCAGCCCGATAGCCCTGCCCCTGGGCCAGGGGCCGTCGCGGCGCCGCCCCGCCAACCTGAACGCCCTGCCCCATATCGGCCTTCTCGAAGTCGGCCCAGGCCCAGTCTCTGCAGCGAAGCCGAGGGAGATGCGGTGGCCACCCTCACCGCGCTGTAGAACGCGAAACTGACCTGGTTGACGCCCCCCGCCTCCTGATCGCGCGCGGCAGCAGTCGCCGATGTCGAAGGGGTGGATGCCGAAGTTGCAGAAAGGGGGAACGCCCGGCCGTTCCCCCCAGCTAAATTGGGGCGAGGGAAACCAAGGCGGTCGCCGAGCCGCCCCGCCGCCTGGGCGCCCTGGCCCAGATCGGCCCTTGCAAGGTCAGGCCAACCCCGCAGCCTCCAGAGAGACACTGGAGACGGCGAACCGCAACCATTCGGACACAAGGTCGCGGCGCATCCGGGAACCATGCCATCTCGCAACGGGGCGCAAGCGGCCGGCCAATTCTTCCTCGGACACCAATGGCGCGGAAGGCCCAGGCCTGCTCGATGCGGGGTCGAAGCTCAAGAAGAAGAGCGTCTTGCCACCGCCTCATATGCTCGGCCCAACGTCGCCGCCACATGCTGCCAGTCGGCGTCGGGCGGCGGCTTGGGAGCGACGGGGGGGGGCCTGGGAACCGCGAGCATCGCGGCCCACCTCGCATCGCTCCAAGATGCGAAACGTAGAGGGCACAATGCGTCCGCGGGTCGCGCGGCACGGCCTCGACAGAAATGGGCGGGCATGTTCAGCCGGCAACAACGCAGTCGCACGACCGTCCTCTACCTCGTCGCAGGTGACCCTGCATTCGCGCGCCTCCATCCGCGCCGACAACTGGCCCAGCTATTCGCGAAACTTCTGCGGATCAACACTTCAGCTCGCACGGCGCCCGCGCGCGGGCCGCCGGCGCGACCGCGATGTCATTGCCAGCGCCGCGAGACGACGCGCCTGGATGGAGGCGCGCAGCGACGGCAACTGGGCTGCCCGCTGCAGGGGCCCGCTCTGCCCGCAGCCCCCTCGCCCTGGCCCAGCCCCTCGCCCTGGCGATGGGGGCGGTGGTCGCGCGCGCAGGTTAACATCCATTCGCCCCCCTGAGAGGCCAGCGCCGGAGAGACCCGAGGGCCGCGCAGGGGTGGCGCGCAACTGTTGCTCGTCCTTGGAGAGGTCGGGCTCGATCTGCGGAGCGTCAGCGGGGCCCTTGCGAGCCCCGACCAACGCCGCGATCGCATGCGCGAAATCATCTCTTTGGACGCCCGAAATGGGTACCGAAAGAATGGGTACGATGCCCAACAACAAATGTTGTCCCAAACCAACAGCAGCCGCTGTTGGGCAGGCGGCCTTCTGTCTCGAATGGACACAGGCCGCGGCGGCGCGGACAGCGAGTCCTGTTCAAAATGAACAGGAATTGCTGTTGGGCATTGTACCCATTCTTTCAGTACCCATTTCGGGCGTCCAGAATCTCCGCGAAGAAACCGTGGGCCGCCGGGCCCCGCCCCGCAATGCTAGCGGGAAATCGCTATGCGCCGTCCTGACCAGCATCGGCGCTGCCAAAGGTAAACGGCAGCCTGAGGGGGGGCCGAATCCTGCCTTGACCTGCTCAGCCAAGATGCGCTCGGCCTCGTAGGAACTCTGGGAGATGGACTCGGCCTGGCGGGCAAGCCCCTCTGCCGCGATGTCGCCGTCGCCGCTGCGGGGATTCAGCCGCGCCGCCTACCGAGCCCCCCGCCCTCGTCCTTCCCCCCGTCCACGGACGCAGGCGCGGCTGCGCCGTCCTGGGCCTTGCGCCCCTCGCGGGGAGCGGCCAACGCTTTGCTCGTGACAGCTAAGAGGTCGAGGAACTCCGTCTGGCGGGCCTTGGCGCGGGCCGAGACGGTCTCAAACCGCCCATGGAACTCACGTAGCTTCGACTGATCGGACTCCTCGACATCATCCAAGGTCTCGAAGTGCGCGGGGTCGGCGCCGAAATGCCGCCGTCGTGAGACTGCTTATCGACGGGGCCGTCGCGACCCCGAGTAGCTGCCAGCGCCGAACATCGCACTTGGCCCGCGTCGCAAAACTCAGATGCACCAGCACGTCGCCTCCCCTGCACCTCGGGCGGGTATTACTGTCAGAACAATTGTCTGAAATCCCTTGACCAACTAGACCTGCTTCTGCGCGCATGCAGCTGCTGCCTTGCGCTGGGCAACTTACGGGCACTTGGCCTTGGACTGAGGAGCGATGGCGGCCGCCTGCGCCTCTACCTGCTCGACCAGGGCAGCGGCTGCCGAGTCGGAGGCAAGGCCTGGCGAGTCGAGGTATCTCTGCTCGCTTGGACTACCCCGACATGCTCCCCCAAGCAGGGGGCACAGGCCATTCCTCATCGCGTGACCATCCGATGCCCTTGGACGGAACTCCTCAGTCGTTGCGGTGCCATGCTGGGCCAGGGGAAAACTGGACCTGCCCGCGGACATTGCACTTATTGCTCTGCTTCCTCAGACGCCAACTCCATGCCCCATTCTGAAAATCCTACCGTGCCGTGCGCGTCCGAATACAATCACCTTTTTTTGCCAGGGTCCCGCCGCCAAATAGCACCGAGCTGTGACGGATCGGACCACGTGTCCCGAACTTGGGCGAACTAGGTCGAGAGAAAGATACCGATGCATACACACACACACATATATATATATATATATACTAGAACCATCGCGCGCGCTTCGCGCGCGCTCAAGTTCTTTTTTGTTTTTTCACGGCCGCCACATTCACAATCAGCATCATATTCAGCATCAGCTTGAGCATCATCACATTTCGCACGCTTGCGCTTGCGAAATGTGTGTGAAGCGCCGCTGCGCAGAGTACTGCGCTGGCCCGAGGGCCGTTGCGTCGTCGGGCTTTGTAGCAACTCCAGAGATAACTGCTCACACTTTGGCCCCGACGTTCTGACCCTCTGAGCACCTTTGGCGGGCGTGGCATTGGTAGAATGAAGAAGATGGAGAGGGTGAGGAGAGAGCAAAGAGGAAACGGGGTAAGGACAATAACGAGGGGCAAAGGATGAGGAGCAGCAGGCAATGAGTAAAACAATGAACCAGCCAGTCCAGACAAAAAGTCCTCACGTGGGCCTCACGCGGGCTGCAACAGCGCAGCTGCGCCACAGCAAGTTCGCGGCTCGCGGCGCTTTCAAAGTCAAAATTAAAACCCAGAACTGGTTCGAAGCTTCGAGCCTCGAAAAAGACTCCCTGGATCCTCCTCCCACCCCGTCACCCTCCCCAAAGATCTCAAGCAAAATTGAGAGGCAACCTGGGAAGCGGCCGTTGAAACGCAGAAGACACTGGGCAGCAGGAGCGGACTCTCCAGTCAGAACAGAACTGTGTCCAGCTCAAACTATAATCCCATGGTCCAGTACTAGACGGCCGCCCCGTACGCAGGGCTCATGACCCTTCCCAATCTCTCTGCCCAAGAATTGAAGTATCTCTGCGCCCCAGGCTCACGCACAGGCGGTCGAAAGAATAACCGCGATGATGGCTGCGGTCATGGTCGGCTCTCCGACGCCTGAGGCACTCTCGATGTCTGGTGCCGGCGTCGGTGAGGGGGTCGACGGGGTGCACTCAAGCCACTTGCGCGTCTCGCCGGCCACGGTGGAGTCCAGGGCCTGGTCACAGTTGGAGCCGCCCTGCACGTAGCACCACGTCTGGTTCCAGTCGGCGGTGGCACTGCAGCCCTCGTACGACTCCATAGCCCCGTCGGCATCGCCATCGTAGTTCCACTCCGTCATGCAATTGCAGGAGCCGCACTCGCGCCACTTGCGCGTCTCGCCAGACACGGTGGAGTCCAGGGCCTGATTGCAAGTGGAACCACCCTGTACGTAGCACCAACTCTGATTCCAGTCCGCTGTGGCGCTGCAGCCCTCGTACGACTCCATAACCCCGTCGGCATCACCATCGTAGTTCCACTCCGTCATGCAGTTGCAAGAGCCGCACTCGCGCCACTTGCGCGTCTCGCCGGCCACGGTGGAGTTCAGGGCCTGGTTGCAGTTGGAGCCGCCCTGCACGTAGCACCAGCTCTGGTCCCAGTCGCCGTGGCGCTGCAGCCCTCGTACGACTCCATAACCCCGTCGGCATCGCCATCGTAGTTCCACTCCGTCATGCAGTTGCAGGAGCCGCACTCGCGCCACTTGCGCGTCTCGCCGGCCACGGTGGAGTTCAGGGCCTGGTTGCAGTTGGAGCCGCCCTGCACGTAGCACCAGCTCTGGTCCCAGTCGGCCGTGGCGCTGCAGCCCTCGTACGACTCCATAACCCCGTCGGCATCGCCATCGTAGTTCCACTCCGTCATGCAGTTGCAGGAGCCGCACTCGCGCCACTTGCGCGTCTCGCCGGCCACGGTGGAGTCAGGGCCTGGTTGCAGTTGGAGCCGCCCTGCACGTAGCACCAACTCTGGTCCCAGTCGCCGTGGCGCTGCAGCCCTCGTACGACTCCATAACCCCGTCGGCATCGCCATCGTAGTTCCACTCCGTCATGCAGTTGCAGGAGCCGCACTCGCGCCACTTCCGCGTCTCGCCGGCCACGGTGGAGTCCAGGGCCTGGTTGCAGTTGGAGCCGCCCTGCACGTAGCACCAACTCTGGTCCCAGTCGGCCGTGGCGCTGCAGCCCTCGTACGACTCCATAACCCCGTCGGCATCGCCATCGTAGTTCCACTCCGTCATGCAGTTGCAGGAGCCGCACTCGCGCCACTTGCGCGTCTCGCCGGCCACGGTGGAGTCCAGGGCCTGGTTGCAGTTGGAGCCGCCCTGCACGTAGCACCAACTCTGGTCCCAGTCGGCCGTGGCGCTGCAGCCCTCGTACGACTCCATAACCCCGTCGACATCGCCATCGTAGTTCCACTCCGACATGCGTTGCAGGACCCGCACTCGCGCCACTTCCGCGTCTCGCCGGCCACGGTGGAGTTCAGGGCCTGGTTGCAATTGGAACCGCCCTGCACGTAGCACCAGCTCTGGTCCCAGTCCGCCGTGGCGATGCAGCCCTCGTACGACTCCATAACCCCATCGGCATCGCCATCGTAGTTCCACTCCGTCATGCAATTGCAGGAGCCGCACTCGCGCCACTTCCGCGTCTCGCCGGCCACGGTGGAGTTCAGGGCCTGGTTGCAGTTGGAGCCGCCCTGCACGTAGCACCAACTCTGGTCCCAGTCGGCCGTGGCGCTGCAGCCCTCGTACGACTCCATAACCCCGTCGACATCGCCATCGTAGTTCCACTCCGTCATGCAGTTGCAGGAGCCGCACTCGCGCCACTTGCGCGTCTCGCCGGCCACGGTGGAGTCCAGGGCCTGGTTGCAGTTGGAGCCGCCCTGCACGTAGCACCAACTCTGGTCCCAGTCGGCCGTGGCGCTGCAGCCCTCGTACGACTCCATAACCCCGTCGGCATCGCCATCGTAGTTCCACTCCGTCATGCAGTTGCAGAGCCGCACTCGCGCCACTTGCGCGTCTCGCCGGCCACGGTGGAGTTCAGGGCCTGGTTGCAGTTGGAACCGCCCTGCACGTAGCACCAGCTCTGGTCCCAGTCCGCCGTGGCGCTGCAGCCCTCGTACGACTCCATAACCCCGTCGGCATCGCCATCGTAGTTCCACTCCGTCATGCAGTTGCAGGAGCCGCACTCGCGCCACTTCCGCGTCTCGCCGACCACGGTGGAGTTCAGGGCCTGGTTGCAGTTGGAGCCGCCCTGCACGTAGCACCAACTCTGGTCCCAGTCGGCCGTGGCGCTGCAGCCCTCGTACGACTCCATAACCCCGTCGACATCACCATCGTAGTTCCACTCCGTCATGCAGTTGCAGGACCCGCACTCGCGCCACTTCAGCGGATAGCCGGCCAAACTGGAGTTCAGGGCCTGGTTGCAGTCGGAACCGCCCTGCACGTAGCACCAACTCTGGTTCCAGTCGGCCGTGGCGCTGCAACCCTCGTAGAACTCCGGAACCCCGTCGTCATCGGCATCCCAAAGCCACTCCGTCATGCAGTCGCAGTCGCCGTTCCCGCCTATCACGCAACTGACCAAGGCCGCGCAAAGGACGGCTGCCAACTCCATGACGATTGGTTTGGCCATCGGTACCCGCGCGCCTATGGGGATGGCAAATTGGATCGCGAGGACAGCGTCGCAATTTTTTCGACTGAGCCAAGTTTGCTTGAGCCAGAGGCCGGGGGGGCGCTGGAAGATCTTGGACAGCGCTATCGAGCACAAGTGCGTGACATAGTCGTGCCTCCTGAGGGCCTCTTGGGGACCTCTTGGGTCTTCGTGGGGGCATCTGAAGGGCTTCTGGGGGGTTCTCCGTACTTCCTCAATTTGCTGTTGGAGGCACCTCTTGGGTGCTTCTTGGGGGGGCGTCTTTGGGTTTCTGCGGGTCCCTTGGGAGCATCGTCGGGATTCTCCGGGCAATCGGAAGGGGATCTTCTGCAATCTGAAGCCGTCACTGGCCGTCTTGGCTGCGTGGAGGCCGGACTTGAGGGCGCCTGGGGCCACACTGAGGCAATCCAGAAGCCTCCCGGGGTGCTCCTGCAGACAGTTTTGATGCATCGAGGGCACTGTTGGGCAATCTTGGGGCCCCTTGTACGTCTCCTTGGGGCCTTTTGGGGCCACTTGGGAGGCTTATGGGGGGCCTCGTCGGACCACTTGGGGACTCTTGGGGCCTTCTCTGGGCCTCTTAGGGCGGAAGACTCTGCTGTTGGGTTCGCGTTCCCATTCTTGGGCCTCTCTTGGAACCGTTTTGGGGTCCTCTCGGGCCGTCTTGGGCGCCTCAGGCACCGTCTCGGGGCCTCGTGGGCCATCTTGGGGCCCTCTTAGAAGCCTCTTCTGCTATCGTGGAGCAGTCTTGGGAGCGTCGGGATGAAACGCTAAAATGCACCAACAACCAAAACCAAAGGAAAGTCCGTGATTTTGGCTTCTTGGAGCCCTTCTGGGAATGCGGCCTATCCGGAGGCCATCGTGGGAGCGTGTAGAACGATAGCTCCGCGATAGTGGGCCTCCTGGAGGCCTCTCGCATAGTAGGCCTCCTGGAGACCTCTCGCGGCCCTTCTCATGTGTTGGGGCTGTCTTGGGGGGTCTGTAAGCGTCCCTGGCGCCCCGACACACCCATGGCGCGTCGCCCCCCCCCCCGCCTCGGCCCAGGGATCTATATATATATATATATATATATAGAAAGAGAGAGAGAGAGAGAGAGAGAGAGAGAGAGAGATGGAGAAAAAGAGAGAGAGAGAGAGGCGAACATGCGGTAATGATGTAGAGAGGAGGAGCAGGGACGGAGGGAGGAGGAGGGGAGCAGGGACGGAACAGAAAGGTAGGGAGAGGGAGGGAGGAGCAAGGAAGGAAGGAAAGGGGGAATCAACGAGGAAGGAGGAAACATCAAGGATGAGCAGGAGGGAAGAAGCAGACAGCAGGGAGCATGGAGGCAGCCACGAAGGATAGCGGAGGGAGTGAAGGACCGCAACGCGCTGGCACGCACCCCCTTGAGCGCCGCCTGGCGCGTCAGGTCGCACTCACGCCTCAGGGGGGGAGGCGCCAGCCGACGCAAAACTGACTACGCCGCGGCCCTCGTCCCCGATGCCCCCCCCACCCCCCCACCCATAGATTCTACACCACCACCCTCCCCTCCGCGCTCCACGCCCCTTCTTCGTGCCGTCCCCCCTGCCCCGCCCTCCCCCCCCCGTCATTCCCTCTGCTCCGCCCCCCCCGCCTCCCACCCTCCCTTCTCGGGGAGCCCACAAAGGACGCACGCGCCCAGCTTATGTACGTGAACGCGGCCCCTTGACCCGCGAGACCGGCCGCGTGATACGAACATTCGCGCAATGCGAACTCTCGAAACCAGCGTGGATTCATGTACGTATACGCCCTTCTTTCGCTCCTGACTTCTTCCGCCCCACCGCCGAGACGCGCTTGCGGGCAAACGCGGAGCCCGCGCGGGTGGCGGGCGGGTCGGTGGGCACGCACGCCCAGGTCGCTGGTAAACCGCGCGGATTTGGGGAGGGGGACGAGGGGAATGGAGAACAAGTGGAAGAGGCAGGATAATGCAGAGGGTGCGGGGAGGTGCAGGGACACGTATTAATAAATCGCTTCGCTCATTCCGCCGGCCCTGGGGCGCTCTTTGAGGCCTCTTGGGGGCCTCTTGGGGCTCCACGGCGGCGTCTTTGAGGCCTCTGGGGCATCTTGGGGGCTCTTGGGGGCCTCGTGGGGCGGCAGGGGGAGGTAGTCGATTGCGGCTCCCCCCTCGGAGGCCACGATCCTCGTGAGGGGTATAGAAAAATGGCCCTCTTAATTTGGACAGATGGTGGGACACCGTCTTTCGCGTTCTCCTCACGCGGGTGTTCTGACTGCCCGCATCGGCCTCGCCATCTTCTCCACCAGCTCTTCCACCCTCTGCACGTGGTAGCAGAAATCCTCCGAGGGAAAAGGGCAGGACGAGGGAGAGCGGAGGGAAAAGGGAAAAGGGCTCAACCCGACCTGCCCTCACGTCACGCAAGTCGCATCCAACATCCAACATGAGCCACTACCACCATCACACGGACAACCATGGATCACCAATAGCGCCAAATCTACCGACTGTGCCAGAGACGTCAGGTACGCCGTGTTTGGTTGAGTCTGTGTGCATGTGTGCGTGTGTGTGCGTGTGTGTTGTTTGCGTCATGTTCGCCAAGAGGGCCCAACTCGTCAGACATCCCAAATGTCATGGAACGTCTGCTGCATCGGCATGAAACAACACCTCAACCGACCGACCAGATGACCCGTAACCTGTTGCTCGCCACGGTGGTCTCTACGAACTCGCGGTGCCCTTGATGTGCACGGGTCCCCGGGAGAGAGACAGAGACACAGCACTCCATCGACGCGAACGCACTCGGCCCATAGAGGGCGCGACCTGGTCAGACCGTGAAGACCAGACGAGGACCCAGAGAATCAACGCCGGTTTCCCTCCTATCCCAGATCCGTGGGCATTGAGCTATGGTCAAAGATTGGGAATCCACCACGTACCGAGTATACACTCGTGGATACCCGAGTCCAAGCCCATATTGCAATTAAAGGGGAGATGGTGGACAAAGCATGGTCTTCCTGAACACACACGCACACACCTACTCCAACCCCAAACCAGACCGTGGGCTACGAACGCAAGCGCATGCCAACTACTCCGCCCACGAGGGACTCGGGATACATAGTCGCGCACGCCTCCCTACTGGCGTCGCACTGCGCACGTTCCCCTCACCCTGAAAATGCCAACTCCCGAGCCTGCTCTTACAAAGAGCGGCCTGAAAAAACATACTACGTGGCTTGTCAACATCTTGTCCTTTTGAAGCGGCCATGCCAACCGTAAGAAACTTGTATCGCTCTGTGGCCCCTGCTGCAAAGACACACATGTGGAGGGACGTACATACGGGAGAGTGCGGTTGAAAGCTGGCTTCGAGCCTAACCCAATTACAGTGATGATGGACGCGAAGCCTGGATTGCCCCTTGAATGCGGAGGTGAGCAATGGATGTCGCAAGCTTTGAAGACGACGCGCTCTCAAGATTGAATCCAATATTTGATCCCTCAACGCTGACTGGAGCAGGCAACACAACGAACACATCTATGACGACGACAACTCCCTGCGGCGAAATACGACGAGGTATGATTCAAGAAATGATCAACGTCGAACATGTGTGCCAACTCATGCATGGACATACTGATGAACCTGCCAGCCGCGCAGCTTCCCGCGCCCAACGACGCTGGCGTGGCGGACCACTATCGCAACAGATCAACAGAACAATATCACGGCCAGTTCTCTCAATTCTCGTCGACTTTTCCGTTCTGTCTTTTGATCATGCACGCGAGCCGTGCCCAAACCCAGGCGTGCCCCTGCATGTCAACCGATGGGAAACTATACGAATGAAAATTCGCACGGCCCAACCTCCTGGGCCTCATTAGAACGTACCAAAACGCCGAACGAAACAATCGATGCTGATCCTTGCTGGACCGCTACGGCACCCTCTGCACCTCTCGACAGACCTCGAACCCGTGGCATAAACAGAAACTTTCGACGGTCCGCGCGGATTTCTCGGATCTGCGCTGGCCCCCCGCCAGGGCAGAGCGCGACAAGGTTGGCGCCAAAAGCGCTGCCAGGGGGGCCCAACGCAGATCCAAGACATCCGCTTGTTCTTCGACCGTAGTTCCCTGGTCCACCTCGCTCCTTGAAGCAACCACATGTGTCACCTACCTTTGCACGTCCGATTCTGGAGAGCTGGCTGGGAATCATAATTTGAAAGATGTCTGCAGCCAAATGAGCCCCAACGGGGGTGTCCGATACCCCAGCTTCGATTGGACCCGCAGGGGTAGGTTCGCGGCGAGCCAGGGGGGGAAGTGGAAAGGGGCGGGCCTTCTCGGAAGGCTCGGACGGCCTCGGGCCTTCTCACGATTTCTGAGCCTTCCGCGAAGACGGAGACAACTCCAGAAGGCCCGAGGGCTTTTGCGAAACCCCCGCCTTCTGAGAAGGACCGCTCTTGTCTCCTTTCCCCCCAGGGCGCGCCGCCGAGTAGGGTTCGCAACTGGTCATCGCCCCCCGCGTTCCTCCTTGTCCTTCGCCAGCTGCGCACGCAGCCTCGCGGCCTCACCCTCGGCCACCTGCGCGTACTGCAGCCGCAGCCTCGCGGGGAGCTGCCGCGGGGGGAGTTCGGAGAGGCAGGCGAGCGGGCAGGAGGACAAGCAGGCACAGCGCGGTTTCGTGCCGTGTCGTCCCCGGTGTTGGCCCCTGGCATTGCGGGGATCGTTCGACCTTGAGAGACCCGTCGTTTCCGAAGCGTCACGCCGTCCAGCACCGACCGCTTCTGGGTCGACGGCGGCGTTCGACGTTGAACGCCAGCGGCAGGGGCGCCGCCGGTCGCCACGACGTCCCGATATGTGGACGTTCGCACAATTGCGCCACGGCGTCGAACCGGAGGGATTCCGACACCGAACCGAACCGAACCGGAGGCAATTGGGAACCGAGCCGAACCGAACCAGAACTTCTTTGTCGTTGAAGAATCGCGCAACGCGGTCCGCAACTGCGCGCGCGGCCTGGGGCCCCCCATCGGCGCGGACCGTCGCGGCGGCGGGAGCGGGCCAGGCGAGCGCGTCAGCGAGGACAGCGCGCCAACGCCGAATCCCGCTTCCGCGCTTTTGCTCAATCGAGCTGCAGAATCTCCTGACGCCGCCCCATCCTGGGCTGCATCAAAGGGCCGATGTCGATCGCGCCGACGCACGCGAGCGGAAATATCGGCATCCGCCGCGGGCTCCGCGGGGCGTCGCCCTGGGGCCGCCAGGCGCGCGCTCGCGGCCCGAGCAGCGCTCGACTGGGCCGCTTGACCATGCGAGGCGGCGCCCGCGCGCACGGCGGGTAAGTTTCGCAGACGCGACGCTGCTCGGCTCAGTCCGTGGAAGCGCGGGGCGAGAGCCCTCCGCTCACCTTGCCACCTGGTTCGGCAGAGGGGTGGCCGCGAAGCCAGGGCGCGGCACTCGGAAGCGCGGCCCGAAAACCCCAATCGGGGCGCCCGATGCCAGTCTTGCGGTCTGCCAGCGCGCTCTGCCACCCGACCGCGCTGAAAGCTCGAGCGACGTACTTCGAACGCGTGATGCGCCGTCCCGCGCCGGGCAACGCGGTCCACCGTGCGCGCGGCGTGCAGGCCGGTCGCCGCCGAAGTCATGGCCCAACCGCCGCGCTAGCAGCGCGAATCATATCCGCGCGACGAAGGCTCGCAACGGCGCCCCCGTCTGCTCCCTTACCTGAACGGTCGAATCCGCTTAGACACACAAAGGCGCGTCGGCGCGACGCGACGACAAGGACGACGAGGATGACGAGGATGACGAGGACGACGAGGACGACGACGACGAGGAGGACGGGAAGGGGGCGTCCTGGCACCAGCTCCCAACGGGAACGCGTTGTGGCGCGCCGCCGCTGGCATAGCGGCATCCCATGGGCCCCGTGACGCATAAACTCGGCGCTGCGTAGGCCAGCCGTCGGTGGCCTGGCTAGCCCCAAGAGGGGCGCCCCGAAAGAGTCCCCGAGAGCCCCAAAAAGACCCCAAGATAGCCGAAATAATCTTCCATGAGCCTCTCGACAAAAGGTACGCGAAGGCCTCCTCCTCCTCCTCCTCCTCCTACTCTTCAGTGCTAAGCCTCCTCCTCTGCCCTTCCTCCGCCTCATCCTCCTCGTCTTTCTTCTCCTCCTCCTCCTCCTCCTCCTCCTCCTCCTCCTTGTCACTCCTCCCCTGCCTCTTGGTTTTGAGATGCCTCGTTCTCCTCCTCCTCCTCCTCCTCCTCCTCCTCCTCCCTCCTTCAACCTCCTCGCCCGACCAATGCTCATGAGCATCGTTCTGGATGGGCTGGTGGGGGCACACGAATAGCAAAATATTAATAGAAAGTTGTTGGGATCCTTTGGAATGACATTTGGACTCCCGTCCTGCCCCAGTTGTCACGACAGGGCTGAGGGAAGCCAACAGCCAACCATGGCCGAGCGACTTACGCAACGAGGATCGACAACAGGGGCCCAGTGAAAGGGCAAGGTGCAGCGGTGATTCTCAGAGGCGTCTTCCATGAATGGGGACAGGGAACGAGGGAGGGGAGGCGGAGCGACGAACAATGACAAGGATGACGAGGGCGTGGACGAACTTGTTGTTACTTCGGTGATGTTCCAGCGAGCCCTCGGACGCAAGCGTCACAGCTAGTTGCGTCAGCGCGTCGCTCCCGTCGTGCTCAGCGAGGGCAGCCACCAGTCCTCCTCCTGCTCCTCACTCTCCTCCTCCTCCTCCTCCTCCTCCTCCTCCTCCTCCTCCTCCTCCTCCTCCTCAGGTGTGAACACGCCTCGGAGGTGGCGGTTCGCGTCATCCGAACATCGCACCGTTACGCGCAGCGAAGAGAACCACCGCCCCTGCGGAGCGAGAGCATGGGCCTCGGAATGCTAAGAAAACCGTCGCCCACCCCTACCACAATCCCCCATGCCCTCCCCCCTCTTTCGCTGCCGCCTCGGGGAGGAAGAAAGCCCCAACTACAACCAACGACGCACTCGAACATCGAACGCACCCTCCAAACCGGAGCCCTGAAACCACGACCCCCCTGCATCACCCCTTCGTTGACCCCCATACAGGTGAATCACTGTCGTCCGACCCCTTCAACCCATCCTTGCCACAAACGTTTCAGCGAATTCGAGTGCATGCAGCTGCCTGCAAGGCAACCGCTACTTCAAGGACAATTGAAAGAGGACACGTTGCGTGAACCACACGAGTGAGGAAGGCAACGCGATATATAGAACAAGAGGCACTTGAGGTAAGGAAGACATCAATCAAACTCCGCCGCCCCGGCTAGCGGGGGGTGAGACGACGTGTGAGATGATAAGAACCCCCAATGTAGCCTCAAGACGGCCCAAGACGCCGAAAGAGGGCACCATAAGGACCCCAAAGAGTGTCTCAAGATGCACAACTCATGAGCTTTCCGCCTGGGTGTTGGAATGATTTCCGCGTTCCCGCGAGACGCCCCCGGACTGGCCCAAAGCGGCCGGCCCAGAGACGGCCCAAGAGACGGCTCGCGAGGCCCCCAAGGCGGCAACACGACGACCTTCACGAGGGCTCCAGGAGGGGCCCAGGAGGGGGAACCCGCAGGGACCCAGGGAGCCGTCCTCCACAAGACGGCCCCCAGGACCCCCCCAGCGCCCCCAGGAAGCCCCCAGAGGCCCCCCAGCAGCCCCCAGCGGCAAGGCCCCCCCGGGCCCTGAACAGAGCTCAGAGGGGCCGCCCCCCGAAGTCTCCGAGAGGACCCCCAAGAAACCCCGCATCAGACGCGGAGGAGGAGGAGGAGGAGGAGGAGGAGGAGGAGGAGGAGGAGGAGGAGGAGGACGCGGAGGACGCGGAGGAGGAGGAGGAGGAGGAGGAGGAGGAGGAGGAGGAGGAGGAGGAGGAGGAGGACGAGTCTGCAACAGCTACACGCATGCAGCACAGCGGGAAGTGGCAGGCAGCGCACGCGAACTCGGAAGCCGCACACGTCCTCCACTGGGGGCCGGCCCGGCTGCCGCAGGCCTCTTGCATATACCCAGCTTTCCAGGTCGCGTGCTGTCAGGTCGGGCCTCTGGCCGCCCCTGGCACAGCCAACGTGACATTGACTCATCTAACCTAGTTAAAAGGGATCGTGGGGCGTGGCTTAATGGGGGGGTCACAAATGGGGGGGTCAGAAAAGGTCCCCTTTCGTGCCCCTTTCGGGCCCCTCCGGAGCCCCAGGGGCCCGTTTAGGTACCGTTTGGGTACCTTTTCGGACCACACGCGACACCCCCCCATTTATGACCCCCCCATGACGCGGCGCCCAAGATCGGGCGTGCGCCCGGCCGCCATGTGGGCGAGCAGCCTCGCCCCGCTCCGACCCCACCGACGCTCCTCGGGCATCAGGCCGACTGCGTGCGCAGGGCGCCTGGCGCTCGAAGCGCGCTGCCGAAGAAGCCGTCAGAAGCGCCGCCGCGGACCGGCCGGAGGCTCCCCGTGAGCCCTGGGCGAGTCAGAACGTGTTCTCGCGCAAGACCATGGGAAGTTCCCCCCACGCTGCCGCCTCGGGGGGAGGACACGGACACGAAGGAGGGAGGGCAACGATAGGAGGGACCGGCTCAGGGGGAAGCATCGAGCTGGGATCGGCGATACATCGCCGATACATCGGCAATAGGCCCCCAACAGCGAAATCGCACGTTCCCGGACGGGGTGGGCTATCAGCCCCCCATCGGCAATGAATGGGCGCTTGGGGGGCAATGCATCCTCCCCTGAGCCTATCCCCCCCTAACGTTGCCCTCGAATGAGGACGAGGATACGTTTTTCCCCACCATCCTGTGGTGTTGGGTCCTCGTTTTGAAGAGACGGTCCCCGCGTCTCCTCCCTCGGAGATGCTCGGTGATACAAAAGGCGCAAGTCGTAAAACGTCTCCTCCCTCCCGCTGCCCCCCCTCCCTCTCCCCATCATCAGCATCACCACCACCGTCACACCCAGTACAGCGTTTCGTGGCCCCACAGGGAGCTCCACCCAAGGCCCCAGAGGGGGTGGCCACATGCGTCCGCCACATCTAGTACAGCGTTTCGTGGCCCCATACTGCCATAATGAGCTCCACCCAACGCCCCAGTGGGGGTGGCCACATGCGACCGCCACACCCAGTACAGCGCTTCGTGGCCCCATAGGGAGCTCCACCCAGGGCCCCAGTGGGGATGGCCACATGCGACCGCCACACCCAGTACAGCGTTTCGTGGCCCCCTTGGGAGCTCCATGTAAGGCCCCAGTGGGGGTGGCCTCATGCGCCCGCCATACCCAGTACAGCGCTTCGTGGCCCCATAGGGAGCTCCACCCAAGGCCCCAGCGGGGGTGGCCACATGCGTCCGCCACACCCAGTGCAGCGCTGAGCTCCACCCAAGGCCCCAGTGGGGGTGGTCACATGCGCTCGCCACACCCAGTACAGCGCTTCGTGGCCCCATAAGAAGCTCCACCCAAGGCCCCAGTGGGGGTGGCCACATGCGTCCGCCACGCCCAGTACAGCGTTTCGTGGCTCCATAGGGAGCCCCACCCAAGGCCCCGATGGGGGTGGCCACATGCGTCTGCCACACCCAGTGCAGCGTTTCGTGGCCCCATAAGCAGCTCCACCCAAGGCCCC